GGGCGTTAACATAAAAAATTCCCAAAGTTTCTTTTCCTCCAATGCTATACTTATTCTCATACCAACTTGTGTGTCTATAAAGCTCTGAAAATATTCCCTTGGGATTTTTCTTTCTCGGCTTGGTTCAGTCCTACAAATATCCAGAGATTCAGATGAGAGAGTTCATGCATGTTTATATATTGCAGGATTCTGATGTTTTTTGACAAACACCTAAGGACCAGACCTTATTGCCTTCAGTTCACTGTTTTAACATCTGGAATTAGGTATGGAAGTGCATTGAAGATGTAGATGAAACACTGTCAGGTTTTTCTGTGGTTGTTAGTTGTAGATATATCAGAGAATGGCTTTTTTATTTCCCAGAGCCTGAGTCTACACTCTAATTGGTCAAAATTTTAAGAAAAACAGATTTTATTTCAGCCACCCAGTTTGAATTAATTAATGTGGTTATTTTCTAAAAAAAGTTTATTTCCCAAATCCTTGGATTGTAATTCAGTGTAATTTGTCATGATAGTTATGAATATATGTGCTTTCTCTGACAAGAAAGGTCAGTGGAAATGATGGAAATCAAGTTAATCACACTGTGACTAACAGAAATACTTGGAGAGAAATTCCTGGTCCTTTCAGAACAATATTGCTTCTTACCTCACATGTTCTTCAAAAGGAGAATCTAATTCACTTTCTTTTTGCCTAAAGATAGGGTTGTCTTTATACTTTCCACACAGAAAAATCAACTTGGATGGTCCTCTGAAGCACTGAGAAAAACATGGTTTGTCAAGATTGGGTACAGTCAAGGGAGGACACAAATTATTATATTTATATTTGGTATAAAGACATATACTTTCAGTTATATTTTATAGTTGCCAATATTTGTGTCTATTGCTATTACATTGTGGATTTGCTCAGTTTATTTTCTTTGTAGAAAAATAAACTCAGTATTGAAAGCACTTTAAAGTTGTCTTTCAAAAGTCAGATTTAATCTGTGATTACTAATAAATTACTTGATATGAGTTTGGATCATTAAGTGAGAGATTTTTAGGTTATGATTTTTTGAACATCTGCTTTATAATTGCTTTTCTTGTGGCATTATTTTTTCCTTTTTTTGTTTTTTTCCTACATTTTACAATGGGATTTTATTTAGATATTTACATTTTTTGCTAATTTATAAGGGGCACATTTTTATTTTGCCAGATGAAAATATGGGGATAAATATAAAAATTCTTAAAATTTGCTATGAATTTCATTCATTTATAGATTCATTCTGTGCATTCATTTTAAACATTTATTGACATTTAAATATCTACCTGTAACTGTGAATTCAATATCCAAATATTAAGCGCTGTGTTTCTTTGGGGTCATTCAAGGTTATATGTGGTACAGTTTATGAAAACACTGAACATTTAAGTGAAAGTTAAAAAAAAAAAAAACTATTCCAAAAAAGAAATACATTGCTACTAACCCAGATGTAATATTTCCAAGAATTTTGAATACAGTATCCCATAATTTTTGCCTTGAAGCACTGTATTTAGGAGGTCCTCTGTTACAATGTGCCTTTTCATGGTGCCTTGATACCCTAAATCAATTTGAAACATGTGCTGCCATTGCTGCCAAATAAAAACATTATGGATCATATTTATCCAACTTATTCGCCAGATTCAATATTGACTCTTGGGTTTTCTCTAAAGTCAAAATGACCATCAAATGCAGGCATTTTGAATTAATTCAGAACATCAAGGCAGCCACAACAGTACCACTAAAAACTCTCACAAAGAGGACTTCCAGAACTCTACAGAAAGTGACAAAGATGAGATATGAGATGTCTCATAGACATGTATGAGATAAATGGGTTTGAAGTGAGAGGGAATGTTTTGAGAGGACCAATAGCAAAATATCTTTTATGCAATACATTTTTTAAAAAAAAGCATTCACTACGTTTTGTAATCATATATCACAAATATTTATAATATTATGATGTTAAAATAACCAAAGAGATGGCTTCTATCAACAAACGCATCCCTACTGCAAATCTGCTACTTTCCTAGCAATGTCATGTTCCTGTGACTTCAAGGGTGGTCATCCACCCTCTTCCATGAACACGATGATTTTTCTGATGAGGCTGAAGACTGAAGGCAAAGTTGGTAGCGACCAAGAACACAACACAGAACAGCAGATTTCAAGATCTTAAAGCTAAACATGGCATTCTTATGTGAGTAGAAAATAAGAACTAACCACAAGAAGCCGCTTGATCTAAGGAATTCAAATCATGCTGTAGTTTAAGAGCGTTTTTCCTTTCCTCAAGGATAATGTTTCTAACTGGCCGCAAAATTTTGACAGTTGTCATTTCTCTCTCTTCCTTCCTTCCTCTCTCTCTCTCTCTCTCTCTCTCTCTCTCTCTCTCTCTCTCTCTCTCTCTCTCTCTCTCTCTCTCTCTCTCTCTCTCTCTCTCTCTCTCTCTCTCTCTGTCTCTCTCTCTCTTGTACCCAGATCTTATTCATGACTATACTTACCATACATGTGCTTAAACAACTGAATTAATCCTCAGCCCTTAGTTACTGTTTCTACATGCTTCTAAAATGTCATTAGCACACCAGATTTTTTTTTTAATTTAGAAATTTATTGTTTGATGTGTGAGCTTCGTACAGTTTTAGTTAAACAAACAAACACAATGACAACAAAAGTGAAATCAAGACACTATTTCAAAGTCTGGGTCCTTTCAGGTTTCAAATGCAAGAGCTCTGAACATTATATATTCCAATTGGAAGAATAAGACAAAAACAAGAATGGACCATGACATTGGAGAAAACAAAGACTGATCCTCCCAGGGATGAATTAACTGCCTTTACAAGAGGCAGGAGAAGAAGGAAGGGAGAGGGATACTGAAGAGGGAGAGAGGAAAAGAAAAGAAACCCAAAATAGAATAGAATCAAATTCCAGTGGTCTGAACCAACTTGTTACACATTCATTTGAACCTAGTGTCCTGGAAATCATGCTTTCATTTTTCTGTCTCAATCTCAAGCCAAATCCTGATTCATTTTAGCAGCTATTCCACAGGCAACAGGAAAATGTCTTTGCCAAGAAGAGGCCTTTGAAGAAGACAAGTTGACATGTACATCTTATGTTACTTTGTAAATACCAGAAGTTGTCTTCAGTAGTGTATACTCCACTATCCTTCAGTGAAAAACAGGGAACCATTTAGGTAACTCCAGTCTAAGAACACTGGCAGCTTTCCTTCATTCCTAAGTAGGCAGGTTGGTGGATTCTTTCCTGACATAAAGAACAGGGGTTAAGGAAACACCTTAATGTCTGCTTTGAAGCAAAGAATTCAAACAGTAACATTCCAAGGAAATCTTCTCCACTGATTGTCACTATTCCACAGTCTTGGTTTAGATTTCTAAAGCCTCATTATCAAGTCAGAATCAGTAGTCACAGAAAACTGAACTGCAACTCAGCTAGTTAAAATAAGCAAATGAAATTTATAAAACAAATAAATAAAATATCTAAATTATGGAAATAATATATTTGAATGAAATATATGTTTGTCTAAATGACTATTATCATTAGTTTATCTTGATTTATTTTAAGGAAAAATGAGAACATTTGTGTAAAGAATATACTTACCATATTGACTTCAACATCACCTTCTTTCTATACTATCATTTTAACCTACAATACTGTAAAGTAACATTTTTGTTTATTATTTTAATTTTAATATATCTCATCTTTAGAAATGTAGAAAAAGTAAACAATATACACTTAACATAAAAAGATAGTGAATGTCTGTTATTAACTTTTACACTAAAATATTAACAATCGGTCACATCAAGAAAACATGTACAATATGGATTGTTTGAAAATCAGGAGGTTTTGTAAAAAAAAAACTATATAAATTCCAGGTGGAAAGGGGAAGTAAGGAAGGGAAATGGGAGATGAATGCAAGTTAATTATATAATTCTTGTTTCTTAGTTCACTGAAAGGAAGATTCGTGGTAATATCAATTGAAGAAATTTTCTTGTCCATAGCTTGTACTCTGAGTAACTACTGTGAAGAAGACAATATGCAATATATTAACTATTGTTATTCTCCTATTATTTTGTTATGAGATTGTTTTACTTTTTAAAAAAATTAAAAAATTTCAGTAGGGTGATGCACTTTATGTTTTATTTTGTAATTAGTTCAAACACATTACATGAGTTAGAGCATGGTTGTATGAAAGGCTAAAAGAAGGAAAACCATGTCCAAATAGGGATATGTAGATAAATACAAATCCAAAAGCATTAGAATTTTTAAAATACACCGTATCTTTTAAAAAGCTGATTGGAGTCATAAATATTTTTAATTTTTCTATACTCGTACTCCTTTAGTAAAAATGGATCTAAATCCTTGCCTTATAATTTTAATTAATATTTAAAAATACAACCAGCACTTCAAGATATCTCAAACATATCAATGAAAAGAATTCTATACATATGTATATAGCCAAACCTCATATGTAAGAAATCTGCATGCCTCAAAGCATATAATATAATATTATATATATATAAAGTCTCTAAAACAGCCAAACTCAGAGCTGGTATTATGAAATTGTAGTGATAAATTATTGAGTAATAAATAGAGTATGACACTTGTCAGAATTCCTGTTTCATTAGAAAAGTAAAACAGTATAGGTAACAGGATGAGAATAATGAAGATGCTGAATCTTTCCTTAATGTCTTGATGTTGCATCAGTAAATTTCCAATACTCTCTTAAGGTTTTCAGTTTTTTTCTACATACCATGGCCAAAACATTCAAAAAATGTTAACAGATGCGGTTAGATCAGGTATTGGTCAACACCTACATTTATATTGGGAAACATAGTCTTTTTTGTGGTTTATAATGGATAGAGTAAGAGCTATTTCTAAAGTTATTGGCTTGATTGTGTGCCATGCCTTTTTATGACCCACATTATGGTGCAACAATAATGCCAAAGAATAATACCAATCTTTTTATTTTCTCTTAGTCCAGAATGTTCCAGGATCTCAGAGAATCCAACAGCTCTACATTTCAAGTCTCTGAGTTCATTCTCATGGGATTTCCAGGCATTCACAGCTGGCAGCACTGGCTTTCCTTGCCCTTGGCTCTACTTTACCTCTTGGCTCTAACTGCCAATATCCTCATCGTGATTACTGTCAGACAAGAGGCATCCCTGCACCAGCCTATGTACCAATTTCTGGGCATCCTGGCTGTGGTAGACATGGGTCTGGCTACCACCATCATGCCAAAGATTTTGGCCATCTTATGGTTCAATGCTAAGGCCATCCATCGTTCAGAGTGCTTTGCTCAGATGTATGCCATTCATTGTCTTGTGGCCATGGAATCAGGCATTTTTGTCTGCATGGCTATAGATAGATATGTGGCCATTTGTCAACCACTGAGATATCCATCGATAATTACTGAAGCTTTTGTGATCAAAGTGACTGTATTCATGGCACTCAGAAACTGCCTGGCTCCCATCGCAGTACCTGTACTTGCTGCTCAAAGAAATTACTGCTCTAGGAACCAGATAGAGCACTGTCTTTGCTCTAACCTTGGAGTCACTAGCCTATCTTGTGATGACAGGAAAGTCAACAGTATCAACCAACTAGTTCTGGGTTGGACACTCATGGGAGGTGATCTTGGTTTGATTGTTTTATCTTATGCTTTGATCCTTCAGTCTGTCTTGAAGCTCAGCTCAGTAGAAGCTGCATCCAAGGCCTTAAACACCTGCACATCCCATCTTATTTTAATCCTTTTTTTCTACACAGCTGTCATTGTCATCTCCATCACTCACAGTGCAGGCATGAGAGTTCCCCTCATCCCTGTTCTACTCAATGTGCTGCATAACGTCATTCCCCCTGCTCTCAATCCCATGGTGTATGCTCTCAAGAACAAGGAGCTCAGGCAGGCCTTATACAAGGTGTTTAACCTGGACACTAAGGGCAGAAGATAATCAGAAAACACTACAAATGTTTATTTCTACAATAAGTATTTTCATTACATTCCACAATCACTGCAATTGCTGCGAGTAAAATAATAGGTGTACTGTCACGTTTTCAGGTTCCATAAGGAATCATTTCCAACAATTGAAGCCTTAGAACTAACAGGTATACTTAATATATGAAATCTCTCCATGTAAAGCATAATACTTCATCAAAAAGACTATCACAAGCTGGGCATGGTGGCATATGTTTGCAATTCCAGCTCTCAGGAGGCTGAGGCAAATAGATCACTACAAGTTCAAGGCCAGCCTGGACTAGATAATGAGTTCAAGGTCTGCTTATGTAGTATAATGAGCCCCTGTCTCAAAAGAGTAAAAAGAAAAGGAAAAAAACCTACAAAAATGAAAAGCAAAACCAGAATAGGTTCCAAGGAACAGATATACTGAATATATTATATGTATGAATATATTATATGAATATATTATATGAGCAGGTTACCTGTTATCCATAGTCTGTACTTCTAAACAATGTTTAATAGACATGGATACAGAAACTGTATTCATTGATGTGTACTTTCAAATTGAGACTTTATTTATCTTCTATCTAATATGATTATTGAAAGGAGCCATTCCTGCAGTTTTCCTATTACCTTATTATAAGGTGCGTCTTGTTTTGAAAAAAGTACTTGAATATTTACATGTCTAAAAAGATGGGCAAATAATGAAGAAATCACTGAAAATATTAGTTATTAGCCAAATTCCAATCAACTTCAAGAAAATACAAGTTGCTAAAATGATATCAGTAAAAAAACAGAAAAAAAACAACTGTTGATGATATGTATATATTGCAAGTACGATAAATTTCTTTTGGAATGTAAAATAATACAAAAAAATAGCATTTATGAGAAATATTGGTAGTATCTCATTAAATTAAGCACAATTGGCATAAGAACATTTAATTCCTAAGTATATACCATAAATAAGAAATAATTGCTTGACCAGAGACTTGTATGTATGGTTAAGCTTATCCTCTAAGTGCACACAATTTTGAAGTAAAATATAATGCTATAATTAGTGTCATTTATGAATTTAATTTCCCTGAATCTGTTCTTAACTCTGTAAAACAAAGCTCTATTATTTATTAAAGTGACACATTTAAACTAAATGCTTGCTGAAGTAAGCATTCATAAATTCTGCATGTAGAGAAAATCTTGTATGTAGTAAGTCACAGTAGAAGGAAAAGTAAAAAAATAAAAACAAGACATATATCGTTAAGCTGCTGATTGGATAAATATGAAGTATATCTGTATAAAGGATTATTACTCAATGGAAAGATTTATTGTGAGTTTGGATGTAGGTTTTACTAGAGTAATTATTTTTCTATTGATGTGTATCTCAGAAAATCATATTGTAAACCTCAATAAATTTATATATATTTTTGATATTTATAATATATTAATGTTATAACATTTCAACAGGTGTTGGATAAGTGCTAAATTTGGCAAATGTGAAATGAAGATTATAGTAGATGACAGAAACATAAAAACCCAAAGAAACAAGTTACATGAACTACTGGCACATAGTATGACCCACATATATGTTTAAAAATTTTCCTTTTTTTCAATTTTAAAGAGGATAAAACAGAATAAAACCAATCAAAACAGTGTAAAAGATAAAGAACTTCAAAGCATTATGAAATCAACAATAGTTATCATAATGACTTTTGATGTCTTCAAAATAATTGCAGATAACTTTGGACACAGTAAAACCAAACACAATAGAATAGAATAGAAATAATAAAAATAAAATAGTAGATGCTATAAAGGACTTCAAAATAAGCCTATAGTAATTACAAAATTGCTACATAATGTATCTTTGAAATCGCTGCTCCTGCTGTCGGATTTGATATAAACAAAACAGAAGAAAATAAAACCAACCAACAAAACAATGGAAATGATATAGGACATCCAAAACAAGACCATAGGGAATGAGCAATGGCTGCAACCCTCAGAAGGAGATCTCCTACATGTCACACTGCTTACTACTATTCTCTGCACCTATGATCAGACCACTGGCCATAGAGCTGCAGTGTTAGTGAAACACCAAAACACCACAGGTATCCAATTGCATTTAACTCCATAGCAATCATCACAGCCTGTGTTTCTCCAGATAAACCCGTCACTTACAGCTCGTGCACTTTTCATTTGGCAGCTCACTTGCCAGCAGGGGCTGGTATCTGTTCCAGTCCAGCAGTGGCGCACCCATGGCATTGGTTTTCAGACTGGGCTTGCTTGCTAGTATGGCTTTGTTCTCTCTACCTCCACCCCACTTTCTTAATGAATAAAACTATACACAAAGCACTATCCATTATATAAATCCATTTTTAAAAATATCCAAAATGGGTAAGTGTATGGAAGCAGAAAGCAAATTATTTTTTTGCCAAAGGTTAAATGCTGAGGGCAACAAATAGAGAATGACTAATGCATGTGGAGTTTTTCCAAGGCAGCTCTCAATTCTTTTTTATTTTAAAGAGGTGAGAACAATAAAAACAGTGATAAAGAATATGGAGTATTATTCAGCTATAAAGAAGGATTGCATTGAGATATTTATCAATAAATGGGCGCAGCTTGAGACCATACTCATAAGTGAAATAAATCAATCTCGCATGTATGAATACCGAATAGTTTCCCTAATGTAAGTAATGATTCAAATATATAAAAATATGTGATAATCATGATTCCCCATTATGTGGCCTTGAAGCCTTATAAAATTTTCACTTATTAATTAGAAAGGCTTTACTCTGGGCTTTTTGATATGGAAATATTTGAAGCTATAGTATATGAAGTTTTATCCAAATATTTTAAGGAAAAAGACAGACACTATGGTAACTACTATTCTTTAAAAAAAATTATTTAGCTATTTCTTATGTTTATTTTAATTAAGGGAAAAACTTAAAAAATTAGGATATATAGTAGTAACTCTTTTTGATCTCCTATTAACTTGTTTTGAAGTCCTGTAATACTCCCAAGATCTTGTTTTGACTGATTAGACTCTGTTCCATTCTGTGCGACAGTAGCAAGTTTGAAGGTATAGGCAACTAATTTGAAGGCAATAAGATTCACAAAGATGCCCATTCTGGTTTGACTATTGTCTCCTTTGGAAGTCCTGCAATGTTCACAATGCCTAAGTTTTATTGGTCTTGTTCTCCACTGTTTTGTCCAACTTTATAATATCTAATGAGATAGACAATTCCTTTTAAGGAAACAAGAGACAATGTTGATAACCATTGTTGATGACCTTGTACTCTGTTCTACATCATGTACTATGTCTATCCTTGGTTTGGACTTACAGCTTTGTTTTGCCATATTTGACTTTATTATCTCCCCCCCAAGAGAGTAATGAGAACTGAGGAGTAATAAAATCCAAAATGTGTAAATTTTGTTATAAAAAAGAGAGGGAGGGAAAAAAAAAAAGAGCTCTAACGGATATAACAACAAGTGTGTTTAGGGATGTTAAATAGCTGACTATATTAATGTTTTTGGATCATTGAACACAGCTGTTTGCAGTCTCTCCGTTTGAATGTCTACTTTGTATTCTTTGATACTGTGATTTGAGCAACTATTTCCAAGATGATATTATGTAATCTATTAACAGGTGATTTCTTACTGTTATGTTTATTTTTTTTTTGTAGTTCTGTATTATGTGTAACCTTACACTGCTTTGTCTTGTTTTGTGTTTTTCTCTTTTTCCTCTTAAATAAAAAAAAAAAAAAAAAAAAAAAAAGAAAAAAAAAAAAAAAAAAAAAAAAAAAAAAAAAAAAAAAGAATTTCCCAACAGGATAATAGGAAATTTACAGTGGTTAACACGCATTGCATTTTGTTATCTTCAAAGTAGTTGCTCAGATTACATGATATAAGTAATGCAAAATTGATCAAAGTGTATAAGCACAAACTATTACTTTTAATGAACTAATAGAAATGAGTAGCACAATTATCTTAGCTATCTTGTGTATATATATTTTTTCTTTTCCCTTCCTTCTTTTCTCCTTTCTACCATCGCTGTGGTCCTTTCATTTTGAGAAGTTTCTTTCCCTTTCACACTATCTATTGTACATTTTAGATCTTATTTCTCTTTTAGTTCCTCACACTAGGGAGACAGCTTACCCACATGAATCTGATTTATTTAACTTACGATTATGATCTTGAGTTGCATTCATTTACCCACGAGAGCCTCAACTTTATCTTTCCTTATGGCTGAGAATATGCCAGGGCATAAAAATACCACACTTTTTTAAAAAAAATCTATTCCTCATTTGATGGACATTTGAGTTGTTTCCAAGATTTAGTGGTTACAAATTGTGCTGCTATAAACATGGGTGCCCATGTGTCACTGTGGTATGATGTTTTTAATTTATCTGGGAAAATACACAGAAGGGGAATAGCTGGGTTAAGTAGGATCTTTAATCTTAGGTTTTGAAGCACATTCACATTGATTTTCACAATGGTTGTAATAGTGTGTACTCCTAACTGTGGAAAAAGAAGGGTTCCTTTTTCCCACAGCCCCACTAGTATTTGCTATTGGTTGATTTCTTGATGATAGCCATTTTTTTCTGGAGTGAGATAAATTCACAGTGTTGTTTTAATTTGCATTCATTTATAGAATGATCAGGGATGTTGAGATTTTTTTCAAATACTTATTTGCCATTTGTATTTCTTTATCTAGAAAGTGTGTATTCATATCCAGTGCCCATTTTTGGATTGTATATTGGTAATATTTTAACAGCATTATATATATAATGTTGAAATTTAATTGAATGTGACTTAAGTGTACATTTTTAAAAAGTCAGAATGATAAATTTTGTGATGTATGATTTTAATCTCAATGATATGGGAAGATGAACTTATATTTTTCTCTCTGTATGTATTTGTTTTATTTTTCCTGCAAGATAAAAAGCAAAGAATAGGAAGCATAGTAACATTTGACATAATCTTATTTAATTATTATAATATATT